TGGGGCCCCCGCGCCGCGGCTCTCTGCCCCGAGCCCACCCGCGTCCCCAGCGCCCCAGCGGGGGCCCGGCCCACTGCCCCCTCCGCCACGAACGCTTCATTCCGCGTCGCGCCGCACACCACTTCCCCCACCTCCCTCCCCGCGCCCCCAGCGCCCCAGTGGGGGCTCCGCCCCGTGCCCTCTCCGCCCCGACTCGTTTATTTCGGCGCGGCACCGCCTCCTCCGCGAGCGCCCCCTCCGCATCCCCCCCCGCCCTTTAGCTAGCGCGCCCCCTCCGCCCCGACCCTTTTTGTTTTGGTGTGGCACCGCCCCCTCCGCCCTGACCCATTCATCTCGACACGGCGTCGCCCCCCCCCCACCACCCCGCCCAGCAGCCGGCGCGCCCCTCCGCCCCGACCCCTTTTATTTCGGCACGGCACACCCCTCCGCCCCGACCCATTTATTTCGGCACGGCGCACCCCCTACGCCCCCCCCCGCCCCACCCACCAGCCAGCGCGCCCCTTCACCTCGACCCCTTTCTTCTCTTGCACAGGGTGTCTAGAGCTCCGACCACTTTATTTCGGCACGGCACCCCCTCCATCACCCACACATTCCACCAGTCAGCGCGCCCCACCGCCCCCACCCCCTTATTTCGCACGGCAACACCCCCTCCGCTTCCCCCCGACCCCTTTCTTCCGGCACGGCAAACATCCTCCTCCACGCCCCCCTCCGCATCCCCCCCCGCCCATCAGCCAGCGCGCCCGCTCCGCCCCGACCCCTTGATTTCGGCACCGCACCCCCTCCGCCCCGACCACTTTTTTCGGCACGGCACACCCCCTCCGCATCCCCCCCACCCACCAGCCATCGCGCCCCTCCGCCCCGACGCCCTTAATTTCAGCACGGCGCACATCCCTCCGCCCCGCCCACGTTTATTTCGGCACGGCATCACCGCCTCGCGGCATCCCCCCCCCACCAGCCATCGCGCCCTCCCGCGCCATCCCCTTATTTGCGGCACTGGCACCGCACACACACACACACAACCCTACACACACACACACACACACACACATTCACACACAACACACACACCACACCACACACACACCAACACACAACACCGCACACACACACACAACACACACACACTACACACACACACACACGCACACACACACACACACACACACACACACACACACACACACACCTCGCAGCCCCCCCACCCACCAACCAGCGCGCCCCCTCCGCCCCGACACTTTTATTTCGGCACGCCCTCCCCTTTCCCCGCGCGCCCGCCAGCCAGCGCGCCCCTCCGTATCGATCTTATTATTTCCGCAAGGGACACCCCTCCACTCTTGCATTTCCGCACGGCACACCACTTTATTTCGGTACGGCACACCCCCTCCGCCGCACCCCCCCGCCCACCAGCCAGCGCGCCCCCCCGCCCCGACTCGTGTATTTCGGCACCGCCCCCTTGCATCCCCGCACGCCACCAGCCAGCGCACACCCCTTCCGCCCCGGCTCCTGTATTTCGGCACGCCCCCTCCCCCCCCCTGGCCGCCCTCTCCGGCCCGACCCCTTTGTTTGGCTACGGCACACCCCTCCGCCCCGACGACTTTTAATGTCGGCACGGCGCACCCCATCCGCATCCCCCCACCCACACATCACATAAGAGCAGCGCGCCCCTCCGCCCCGACCCCCTTTTAGTTTCGCACGGCACGCCCCTCCTGCATTCCCCAACCCACGCAGCCAGCGCGCCCCTCCGCCCCGACCCTTTATTTCGGCACGGCACACCTCCCCGCATCCCCCCACTTACCAGCCAGGGCGCCCCCTCCGCCCCGCGACCCCTTTATTTCGGCACGGCCCCTACTCCCTCCCCGCGCGCCCTGCGCGCCCCCTCCGCAGCCCCCCACCCACCAGCCATCGCGCCTTTCCGCCCCGACCCCTGTATTGCGCCCACCCCCACCCACCCACCCACCCACCCACTCACAAGCCAGCGCGCCCCTCCGCCCCGACCCCTGTATTTCGGCGCGGTACATCCCTCCGACCCGACTCCTTTATTTCGGCGCGGCACCGCCTCCTCCGCGAGCGCCCCCTCCGCATCCCCCTCGCCCTTCAGCTAGCGCGCCCCCTCCGCCCCGACCCCTTTTGTTTTGGCGCGGCACCGCCCCCTCCGCCCTGACCCATTCATCTCGGCACGGCGTTGCCCCCCCCCCCCCCTCCCGAGCGCCCCCCTTCGCATCCCCCCATCCACCGGCCAGCGCGTCCCCTCCGCCCCGACACCCCCATCCCGAACGCCCCCTCCATCACCCCAATCACCAGCCAGCGCGCCCCCTCCGCCTCCTCCCCCTTCCTTTTGTGCAAGAGCCATGGCGCGCGTGCCATTTGTTTTTCGCTCAAAATCCCCCTGTAGGGGGGACAGGCCCGACCGAAGGCTGGCCGTCGCAAGTTTTTGGCTTCGCCTCACCTGGATCTGAGGGTTCGGCTTGCCTGCCTGGGCGCCCGCGACCCCCAGCGAGCCTCGGGGGCGGCAAAGAGGGGGGTGATGACTAGGGAGGTGGATATCATGGCGGGGGCCATGAGATCTCCCTAGATTTCATGGCGCCTCTTCTTATTCCATTACGTCCCTGGCCCCCCCGCTGGGCCGCGCACATGCCGCCGGTCATGATTTGCACCCCCCCCTCTTGGACACCCCCCTCTTGCCCGCCCGCAATTGTCGCCACGACCGGGTCGGGGCAACGCCGCTGGGCCCAGGCTTAGAGGCCCCGGGGAGGCTCGGCCGCCGAGGGGCTCCTGGCTGCGCATGCCAGGACAGGGGCAGGGGCCAGGAGGGTCAGTCCCTGACCCCATCGTCGGAGACTGGCCGCTGTTCGTTTGTGACAGCATTTGTTCTGGGCATGGTACCCAGTTTCTCCGTACCCATTTTCGGGCGTCCAAATCCCTCGCCTTCGGAGGGCAGGGCGCAGTGGAGGGAAGCCCTTCGGGCCGTGTCTGGGGCCTCCGGTCCTGGGTCGGGAGTCGGGAGCGCAGTCGGTGTGATGCAATGGCAATTACCAGTGGCGGGTTGCTGTTCAGTCCCACGACTTCTTGAGGGTCGGGGACGACGTCGGGGTGGTCGGGGCGCATACTTCTGTTCCAACCTCACGGGGGGGAAAACATCCAGAAATGTATACACCAGGATCCGCATGCACCAGGATCCGCTTTCCTGTGCGCACGTCAGCGCAGGGCCGGAAAAAGCGTCGGCCTATGGAGCTCGGCTCCTGACGTCGCGCCGGGAAGGCATCGCATCGGGGGGGGGTGCAGCTCGCGTCGGGCCCCCCGGGGGCCTCGGCCCTCGGCCCTCGGCCCGCCCAGAGCGGCTCCCGAGGGTCAGGACGAGGAGCCAGCTCCGGGGAGCGGGTCGAGACCCTCGGGGGGCTCCACGTCCTGACAAGCTCGTGCCCGCAAGCGGGGGTCGCTTGCGCCGGCAGTGGCGCGCCAGCTGCCCGCGCAGGTTCGCGAGCAGAAGCGCCCTCGTCGCCAACGTGGCGTGCCGCGCCGGCGGCCCGCGCAAGCCGCCGCGTGAGCTCGCCGTGCCATCTCGCGTCAGACCCGTTCTTGATCGTCACTCGTGTGGGACCGGGGCGCTCCAAAGGGGGGTTTTGGTTCTAGCCCCCTGTCGGGGGTACAGTCGGGGCCCTGAAGAAGGAACCCTTTTCGTTGGGAAGGGGCTCCGCGTTCCTTAAGTGTTTCACAGCTTGCCTCAGGCTTTCCTTCTGTTTTCGTCAGGAAATCGAAGATTAACTTATGGCAAAAAGGGGCCTCGTTCCTTATTTAGGGTTCCTTAGGTCAACGCCCCGACTGTACCTGAGTGAGTTCCCGCAAAGCTCGGAGGCTGCTGCTCGTCAACGCGCGCCCACGCGTGGAAGGCTGCTGCGAGCTGCCGAGAGCCGGGGAGACCATGGCGCGGGCCATACGACGGCCCGCCCCGCCCCTTCGCACCGGCTTCGAGCTGCTGATTCTCGACGCGTCCACGCTGGAGACACTGAGCGTCCACGATGGCCACCACGCCTTCACCACCGCGGACGCCCCCTTCATCGTGCACGCCGACGCTTGGGCGGACTCGGACCTCGTGGCCAGCGGTGGCGAGGACGCGTGCGTGCACGTCTGGCACCGGTCCCACGGCCACCGGCTGGCGCGCTTGGAAGCTCACACGCGCGCCGTGAATGCGGTGGCCTGGTCCCAGGCCCTCAGGCTGATGGTTTCGGCATCTGACGACCACACTGTCGTAGTCTGGTCGTGCGCTTCCGCCCGAAGCAGCTCGTAGCGGCGTTGTATGCCTAGTCGCTCGAATGGCACCACGCGTGGGTGGGTGCACAGTTTTGGGCTGGCGCGTACAGAACAGAAGAGCACGGATACACTTGCGAGTACATACGTACATACATTCATCTATCGATGCATGCGTACATACACACATACAAACATACAGACAGACAGACTCTCTCTCTCTCGGGCTCCCACGTCGCTGGGGTGCCCCCCAGCCACGCCTCGAGGGCGCGCCCCAGCCGCGCATGGGGAACGAGGGCCATGACGCGGAACACCGCGAGTCTCGTGTGGTGGAACGGCCCAGCTGTTTTTGGGGCCCCGGCCGGATTGCACCGGTGCGATCGCGGGGGCTTCAGAAAATTGCACGCGTTTGTTCGCGAGTCACAGACCACGAGCCAGGCACGCCAGGGGAGCGAGAGATAGGGAGAGGCAGAAGAAGAATAAGAAATATGAAGCATAAGAAGAATCGGAAAAAAAACCAGGGACGTACCCAACCCTTTGGCAACAGATGGCATTATCAACTGGCGCTTTCAAAATAGCTGAACATCCGCTGGACGTCCAAGAGGCCCACGAAAGCGACGACCATTGCATTCTTGGCAATCGCCGCGCTTGAGGGTCAAGCGGTGTACTTCGCTCAACGAAGAATCAGCGCTCCGCGCTCTCGAGGGACAGCGCTGCGCACTGCGCGACAGGACGGCGCCGCGCGACCGATCAGCGAACAGCGCTCTGCGCTCGATCCTGGTGTCCACATACTGCCTGCACCAGGGCCGCGCCTTCTTTACCCCCCTCCGCGCTTTCCCATGCCACGGAGAAACAGCGCCGCGCGCTCGGGCCACAATGACAGCGCCGCGCGCTTCGTGAAGGGGCCGCACCCCGCGCTCGCTTTCGAAATATCGACGCCCTCCTGGGGAATATGTTTGTGGAGCAGCAGTGTGAAGGGAGCGGCGCTGCGAGGATTCGTAGGACTCGTCCTAGGCATCGGATCAGTCGAACGAGCTGCGCACTGGAACGGCTCACCGGAGCTGCCGAAGAGGCGAGCTCGCGGGCGCCAATCGCGCGATGGGCGATCTCGGCATACCCGTCGAATGTCACGTCGCCAGCAGTCTCTAGACGCCCAGCTCCTTCCCGATCTGGAAGCACCGTGGCAAAACGCACGTGCATGTCCCGCCCGGGCGGCCAGTGACAACTTGTGGTTTTGGCCTCTCGGGGCCCTCCCATGAAGCCTTTTGGAGGCCTCTTGGCGCGTCTTGGAAGCCTCTTGGGCCGTCTGGGGCGCAGTTGGCAGCTCCCCCCGCAGGGAGCCGCGAGGTCCCGACGCGATCCGCGTGTAACCCCACCCCGCTGGGCCTCCCAGGAGCCCACGAAAGTGCCGACAATTGCGCAGTTCGCAGCTCCCCCCGCAGGGAGCCGCGAGGTCCCGACGCGATCCGCGTGTAACCCCACTCCGCTGGGCCTCCCAGGAGCCCACAAAAGTGCCGATAATTGCGCAATTGGCAGCTCCCCCCGCAGGGAGCCGCGAGGACCCGACGCGATCCACGTGTAACCCCAACTCCGCTGGGCCTCCCAGGGGCCCGCGAAGGTGCCGACAGTTGCACAAGTTGGCAGCTCCCCCCGCAGGGAGCCGCGAGGTCCCGACGCGATCCGCATGTAACCCCACTCCGCTGGGCCTCCCAGGAGCCCACGAAAGTACCGACAGTTGCGCAAGATCGCAGCTCCCCCCGCAGGGAGCCGCGAGGTCCCGACGCGATCCGCGTGTAACCCCACTCCGCTGGGCCTCCCAGGAGCCCACGAAAGTGCCGACAGTTGCGCAGTTGGCAGCTCCCCCCGCAGGAGCCGCGAGGTCCCGACGCGATCCGCGTGTAACCCCACTCCGCTGGGCCTCCCAGGAGCCCACGAAAGTGCGGCGCAGTTGGCAGCTCCCCCCGCAGGGAGCCGCGAGGTCCCGACGCGATCCGCGTGTAACCCCACTCCGCTGGGCCTCCCAGGAGCCCACGAAAGTGCCGACAGTTGCGCAAGTTGCAGCTCCCCCCGCAGGGAGCCGCGAGGTCCCGACGCGATCCGCGTGTAACCCCACTCCGCTGGGCCTCCCAGGAGCCCACGAAAGTGCCGACAGTTGCGTAGTTGGCAGCTCCCCCCGCAGAGAGCCGCGAGGTTCCGACGCGATCCGCGTGTAACTCCACTCCACTGGGCCTCCCAGGAACCCACGAAAGTGCCGACAGTTGCGCAGTTGGCAGCTCCCCCCGCAGGGAGCCGCGAGGTCCCGACGCGATCCGTGTGTAACCCCACTCCGCTGGGCCTCCCAGGAGCCTACGAACGTGCCGACAATTGCACAGTTGGCAGCTCCCCCCGCAGGGAGCCGCGAGGTCCCGACGCGATCCGCGTGTAACCCCACCCCGCTGGGCCTCCCAGGAGCCCACGAAAGTGCCGACAGTTGCGCAGTTGACAGCTCTCCCCGCAAGGAGCCGCGAGGTCCCGACGCGATCCGCGTGTAACCCCACTCCGCTGGGCCTCCCAGGAGCTCACGAAAGTGCCGACAATTGCGCAGTTCGCAGCTCCCCCCGCAGGGAGCCGCGAGGTCCCGACGCGACCCGCGTGTAACCCCACTCCGCTGGGCCTCCCAGGAGCCCACGAAAGTGCCGACAGTTGCGCAGTTGGCAGCTCCCCCCGCAGGGAGCCGCGAGGTCCCGACGCGATCCGCGTGTAACCCCCACTCCGCCGGGCCTCCCAGGAGCCCACGAAAGGACCGACAGTTGCGCCAGTTGGCAGCTCCCCCCGCAGGGAGCCGCGAGGTCCCGACGCGATCCGCGTGTAACCCCGACTCCGCTGGGCCTCCCAGGAGCCCACGAAAGTGCCGACAGTTGCGCAAGATCGCAGGAGGCGACAGATCCGCGCCCCATGGGCCTCCCAGGAGCCCACGAAAGTCCGACAGTTGCGCAAGATCGCAGGAGGCGACAGATGCGCATATCGCAGCCCCCCAGAGGGCGCCGCGAGGAGGAGGTAGGAGGCAGGAGGGAAGTGGGCGGGAGGACGGGGCGACCAGAGTGCTCTATTCAAAACGAGTACCCAACCAAGGGAGGGTTGGGAAAATAATAATAGTAAAGAAGAAGAAGAAGAAGAAGAAGAAGAAGAAGAAGAAGAAGAAGAAGTAGACCAGCGCCTAGCGAAGGCTGCAATCCTCGGGATGCTACCCAGGGTTTCGCGGTTCACCCCAAACGTCCTCGGCCCCAGGACCCCCGTGATGTTCACAGACTCTTCACGGGTTTAGCACGAACCCTCCTAGCCAAGCGGTGAAGGGGAGGAGGGGGAGGAGGAGGCGGAGGGGAGGAGCAGGAGCCCCCCCTACTTCAGGCCGGCTGCTTTGCGGAGCTGCCAGGCCGCGAAGCCTTGCAGCCCCGCGCTCAGGACCCTGTAGGCCCGCGCGAGCTCGCGCTGCTCCTGGTCGCTGGGCAGCTGGCGAACCTGCTCCAGCAGCCAGAGCCGCGCCTCGGCCCCGATCCTGCCGCCGGTCTCCAGAACGAACGGCGTCAGCTGCGCGCCTGGGTAGCGCGCGTGCTTGTCGCGCTCGCCCAGCGCCCCGCTTCCCCGTCGCGCCGAGCGGCCACCCTCAGCTCGGCGGCCGTTCCCGCCGTGGGGTGGCGGACGGTGACGTCCAGCCACCTGCGGCCTCTGTCGTCCTGGTATTCAATGTCCAGGATCGCGTGTTCGAGGCGCCCTCCGCGGAAGCGGTCCCACAATGGGACTCTCTGCTCGAACAGCGGCTTCTCGCCCCGCCAGCAAGCGAGCAGCCCCCCCAGCCGCCGCGCGAGGTGGGTGGCCGTGGCGAGCCACGACCCCGCCTCCGAGCTGGCAGGTGAGCGCGTGATAGCCCTGGCGGTTGAGTGTCCCGCCGCAGCTAGCTCTGCTCGCCGCGCGCAAGCAGCAGGCCAGCTCCGCCGCGGCTGCCCTTGCCAGCTTTTGTTGCGAGGGCTCCGCAGCCGCTGCCGCGCCGCCGTCTCCCAGTGCGCGTCCTCCAGGGCGCAGAGGTCGTCGTCTGGGCACGCCAAGAAGCTGGCGCTTCCGGGCCCCGCGGCGCCTCGCAGCGCGGCCTGCTGCGGAAGGGGCAAGCGCTCCAGCAGGGCTGCGCGCTGAGTCTTTTGCACCTTTTCCGTAGCGAGGCCTCTTGCCGCAAGGGCGTGCTGAGCGCCGTTGCCAAGTCCCCTCCAGCCGCCAGGTCCAGCCCTTGGGCTCGAAGCCCTTGGCGGGGCGCTGCCCCGCGGCGCGAGGTAGCTTCGCCAGGCAGTCAGCCAGCGCGCCGCAGCCGAGGTCCTGGGCCACCTCCGCGACGGCGACCGCCCAGGAAGCCGGGAAGGCTGCGTGCATCCGCGTGGAGGCGAGCCTGGTCCCAACGCCCCCGTCTCTGGCGGGCAGCCAGCGCCAGCGCTGTCTCCCCCAAGTCGCGCCGTAGCAGCGCCTGCCATCTGCGGCCGCAGCGCGCCGTGGCTGCGTCTGCTGCCTGCTCCATCCTGCGGGAGTGCTGGCTCGCTGGCCCTGCGCAGGCCCGCAGCAGCGCGCCAGCCGTCTGTTTGCTGAGCCCGGCTTTGTCTACTTTCAGCAGCTCGTCTGTGAGGTCCTTCAGCAGGCTCCCCCCCCCCCCCAAGCTGTCTGCTGGCTCCCCCAGGCTGGCTGGCGCTCTGGCGTCCGCGTCTCCAGGCGGGCGCAGGTGTTCCCCGAGCACAGGCAGGCTCGGTGTCCAGCATCTCTGTAGGTTACTCGTCAGAACCCCTAGTCCTGCGGGGGGGCAAGCTGTTGTCTTGCGCTGGTTAAGCCGAGGTGCTGCGCCGAACCTCCGCACCATGCCCGGAGGGCAGAGGCTACCTCCGCCTCGTGCGCGGACATCGCCGCGGCGGCTGGCTCTCGCTCCAGTGACGGGAAGGCGGCCTCGAAGTCCAGCTTGAGGAAGACCGCTGTCCGCTTGGTTTCGGCTTGGCCCTCTAGCTTCCGCAGCAGCAGCTCTGCTCCGCCAGCCCGCCCGACACCGCACTGCCTCTCCCCAGCAGCCTGTCGCGGCCTGACAGAGACGGACAGACAGGCACATATTTACTCCCCCCCCGCACCCCCAAGCAACGGACCA